AAATACTGACACAGGTGAAGCTAATCTCTGGCACTATATATCTTAGTGTTATCAGGTGGATGACTCTTGTATGCTTTCTAATTTTCCCCAGTGATGAAAATATTTTCCTTCTGTTATCACCAGCAGAGTGGGGAGCTTTTATTTCTCAAAAGTAAGTTCCCCGACTTCAATCCAAACTTGTAACTTGCATGTGTAACTCTTAGTTTTCTTATTTGAATCCTATTAAGTAATATGAATAGTCAGAAGCAATTTCTTCTCCTTTAAAAAACTTAATTGCTCACATTGCAATTTATATCAATGTACTCCACTTTTTTTGCATTTGTTTCTGTAATAGTCTCTGCCATACTAGTTGGCTTTTACATACAGGAATATGTTTTATATTTTTAAAAAAGTATTAAAGAGTCAATGACCATCAAGGATGTCAGGCACCATAAATATTTTTTCAATATATTAGCTTTTAAAATGTCGATTATTAACATTACAAATATCTGAACAAAATCCTAGATTCAGGAAAGAAGGCTTTGGGGACAGAGCTCCGAACTATGTAAAAGATTTGTGAGACAAAGTAGTAAATATAGAAAGCCATGTTTGCACATTTCTGCTTGCCAGCATAATTTCACAAAGCCCCTGACTCTGCGACGAGATGCAGCTCTCAGGAAGAATGCTTTGAAAACAAAACTGGATTGAATACACGGCTCTCACATCTCTTGCCTGAGTCACTATATTCCTTAAAAGATAAATGACCCTAGACCTTGTCTGTTCCTACAAGAAGATAATGTCTCACAGGGTCAGTGATTATGCTTCTACAATCTATAACCAGATGTAGTCTTGCACCCAAAATTTGATAGGATTTTGTGCATACTGACCCTTCACTGAATGTATATAGGCAATGAGCCAAAACAGTTTTGTAGTAGTCTTATGGAACCTCTCTGAAAGATTTCTTCAGGGATATATCCTCGGTCTATAGTCCTCAGTTAAGACTTCTGAATAAAACTAACTCTAATACTTTACAAGCTTGATTTTTTTTTCTCTAGTGGACAGTCATAAAACTCAAAAGATTATTATCAGAAAAACATAGCTCTTTATTGAGGAACACTGTTCCAGGAAAATAATTTCATACTGATGGAGAAGAATTTGCTGTCCTGCCCCAGGGTACTGCCCTTAAACCATGGCAGATGAGGGAAGCATGCCCTTCTAGAAGGTCTCATTCTCAGCCATTGGTAATCCTAGTTTCACGTACTTGGTTGCTTCCTTCCTCATTAAACCTTGCATATATCTTGGTATATTTTTGTCATATTATTTTATCATCTTCCCCACTATCCTATATTTTTTTCAGGGTTTGAGACCCTCCAAATTTTCTTGGAATTCCCAGGAGTTAGCAGAATCTGTGTAGCAGCCATTGCATCTTCTGGCAAATAAGATGGGCTTTTGTTTCTGAGAAATTTTTATACCCCAAATCTTAGCTGAGTGTTCTTAACTTTAAGCTAAGCCTCAGATTCCTTATTTATTACATAGATATAATAATGGTCCTTCCTTTATAGAGTTTCTCTAAGAATAAATGTGATGATGCCTGTGAAATGCTTTGCAGCACTTGTTATACTGCATTTCAGTAACATCAACTATTTTTAAATTATTTAATACATTTATCAATGATTTTTTATCTTTATTTTCAATGAATACATTTTAAAATAATGTTAACTGTTATTTTTAATAATTTAATAAATTATTTTTAATGTTATAATTTCTAAATGAAAGTTCTTTTTTATTTTTTAATAAAGCCTTTAGAACAACTCTGGAAAATTGCTGTAGTATACAATTAAAATGCTTAAAAATTTATTGATATGAAGGGACCTTGTAAAATCTCCTCCATCTTCAGATCGTGACATCTTTAATTTTTAAGGTAATAATATTACTGAAAATCAAATTATAAAACTGGAATTATAAGGGCTGGTAGCTTTGATTATTCCCAGTTGTTGCCAAGCAAATATTTTTGGACAAAAAGGTTTCCACCAAAGACTCTTTCCAATATCAATATATGAAGAAGAAGAAGAAAAAAGAAACTGGCTGCTACCAAAGTCACAGTCTTTCTGATGGACAAAAGGTGAGGGAATTCAGTGAGTATTTATCGAAGAGAGGTAACAGACTATTCATAGAGTCCTACTCTGAATATAGTTTGTATATGTTTTAAAATATGTTCAAGTTTTCTAAGCTACCAGCTAATTTTTCATAGCTTTTGTTTTTCTTCCTGGAGATGTAAAGATTTTATCAAAACTATGCACTGAAAGAAAATCTACACTGAGCTTACAGGTTAAGGGAAGAAGGGGGATAAAATATGTTAGTGGCTTCCACTTAGAAGCCATAATAAAATACTGTCCCCACTCCTATACCAACCCTTTCAAATTCTCATTTTAAGACAAACTGATTTGAAAATGTTTATATTATAGCAGGAAATGTTTCATTTCTATATAAATGGACATACATAAGTGTTGTGACTTCTATAGGAGAGAAAACCTAGGAAAAGCTCACATTTCCTACAGTTCTCAGGTCAGTCATGCTTTGCTATAGCTAGAAGATGCTCTAACATCCCATAATTGGGCACTAAAAGCCAAACGAATCAAGGAAAATGGAAGCATAGCTGTGCACTCCTCTGAAGTCCCTGTGTTCCTCCTTCACTGTAGAATGAAGATTCTGAACACAGTGTTTTCCTGAAATAAAATCACAATGTGAAACTAGAGATATAAATTAGATCAAAAGTGAAATCTATTTTCCATTTACAAACTTTTGATAAAATAAAGAATTTGTGATAAGCCTACAGAATATGAGATGGAATGTGTATAACTTAAGTGTCTGGGACCTTATTTTAAAGCAGCTGGTACCCCCACTCTCAGGCCAAGTTATTTATGAGAAGTGTCCGTTTGCACAGCATAGTGAGTATAAGTAAATAAGGACCTGTACATTTCAAAATTGCTGAGTACATGTAAAATATTCTTACCACAAAAAACAAGTTATTTCAGGTGATGAATATGTTCACTGGCTTGATTTAACTACTCCATATTGTATTCCTAAATCATAACATCACTTTTTACCCCGTAACTATGAACAACTATGATTTGTGAATTTACAATGAAGAAATTAAAATGTTAAAACGAGACTTTAGATGGTAATTTTAGCTTAAAACAAGTATTCTGAAACAAATTTTCCAATAAATGCAATGAAGGTACTACATAAAATCCTAACTATTGATAAAAACAATAGTTTTTATCAGGGGGCTCCTTCATTCATAGAACTGACATTCAGCCAGTCTTCACTGATTTGTTTTTATAGGGCCATTTCTTTTGTGTAGCATGTGTTTAGACATTGGTTGGTTGACACAAGATTGCTAAATATTTTTAATACATGCTTTACTTATAGTCAGGTAGCACAATGGTATATTTACCAAAGTTGCAAAACTTGAAACTGATTATTTTAAATAAAATGGTCAATGCTTCAGCCTTTGTTTTGTTAACTCAGGTGATTTTCCTCTAAGTAGTAAGAGTCTATGGTAATTACACAGGCAACTTGGATAAAAGTTTCTATCGGGATGGGGACTGAATTCATCACTCAATTTAGACTTCTAAATTAATTGTAACATTATTTCAGCTTTTCATTTTTGCAGATCACTGTGCATAACAGTGTGTGCTCTTCACTTGAAATAGTCAGTCTAGGTGATCTATAAAGAGCAAATAATTTGATAGGATGTGAAATACTTTCTAGGATTTCTGTTCAATTGCCTTCTGTAGAAAGAAGCCCAAAACTGTTGTATCAATACGCTGCTAGCTGGGTTCCTTCTAAATAACATAATTATGTTTAATTACAATGAAGTATTTATGTGAATAAATACAGGATAAATCACTTGTTCTTTGATAAGTGCTATTATGAATACAAACAAATACTTTAGATCCTAAGATACACTATTATTCAAATTAGGCTACATTATTGTATTAAAATGAGAACTTTATATAAAAATTGTATAACTGTACTTTTATAAAAATAAAGAAAAACATACAGAGAATTCAAATGTTTCACTAAATGTCAGTTTAGAGAATGCTGAGCTGTTTGGTTTTATCCTAATGGGTTTTGGATTAGGTATTGCCTATGGAGTAATGCAATGAAAAAAATTTAAAAAACAAACCCTGCAATTCCAAATAAAATTAAGAAAGCATTTTGTAAATATGTTAGCAGAGAAAAAAAGTGGAACAAAAAATCATCATCATTGTGAAAATAATGTAATAAATGTAGACATATTCATCCTCTACTGGCTTTCTTGAATAACTTGGACTTTCATTATTATTATTAAATTTGGTTTTTGGAGGAGGAAAAACCATTTTTTTCCTAAAAAAGTAAATATCCTCTTTCGCCATCTGGTGGCTAAACACAACATTTTCCGTGTAGATGAAAACAGTTAACAGATTTAATAGCCAACTGTGTTTAATACTTGGATTCATCTTACTGAAAATATATGCATATTTATTTAACCTATGGAAATATAACTGAGGCAATTTTGTTTTAATGGCTCACAGCATTTCATTCAAGTAACTCTAGCTATAATATTTCATGCAGGATTTTAAAAAATTCACCAGAGCAATTCTTTTAAAAGACCATTTTCTGAATTATTCATTTTGAAAGCTAAAAATACATGTGATAGTAACAATTTGTTTACCTGAATTATTTAGGTATAAAGAATTAAGGTCTTAATGAAAACAAGGAAGACCAAATACAGTCTTAAATGATAAGCATAGCAGTTACCATTAATTTCTAAAATTTCAGTTTTAGCTTTTCCTGTTTTAAACAATAGTTATAACCATATGTTGACAAGTCACCATTACCAAAAAGAAGCGTAGGTAATTTAACAGTATATAGTTTAAGTTGTCCCTACAATTTTTTAAAATATAATTTTCAATTATTAGTATTTAACATATATAAATTACTTCATTTCATTAAAAATTAAAAAATGACCATTATTTCATGTTTAATTTCTTTATTTTCTTCAGAATATCTTAATATTGAAACCCAAGTTATTTTGAGAAAGGGAAAGACAGAGAAACATGAAGAGACAAACATTTCATTTCATTTAACTTATGGTATTGTGAGCAGTCACTTGTAGGCAACACTTGTTTTCTTTGTAGAAAAGAAATAAAAAAACAAACAGCACCATTAAAGAATGCATGATCCCTGAATTCTAAACAAAACACTGTCTAAAAATTTTTTAAATGCTTGTTGCACTCAGTCACATTTAGTCAGGTATCAAAGCAAGCGTAACAGTATTAAATTGTTGCAGTCTTACTGAATCAACTGCTCCCCCTTCTGAGGATTTTACACACCTTTTCTGAGTTTTTCCTGTGGGAATAATATATTCTTTGGTAGAGGACTGAAGGAGGATTTTACTTTTCTGTATGTTGATATAAAATGTCTATGTAGGTTCGGGGCCTTCGCCCCCAGTCTGTGTTTGTCATGCATGTTGTGTTTGGGTTGATTTCACATTTTGCTGTTACACTGTAGGAGTAATATCGCCTTTAAAAAAGGCATTAAATGGCTAATGTCAAACAGATGTAAACATTCAGAATACTGACCAAAAAAAAAAAAATTACAAACGAACACACATTTAAAAAAAAAGAAACTACTGAAAATATGTATCATATCAGGTTTCCATGAAGCAGGGGTGGGGGAATACAGCAGTACAAGAAAATTATGGCAACCAAGTAAAGCACTTTCTTTGAAACATTCAAGAACAGTACAAATACAACAAAGTTTTTCTACAGTCTAAATTATTCTGCAACTATCAAATATAGTACAAAGCGAAATAGTATGTGCTATAAAAAAGCAGCTCCTTTAAATTATAGTAAAAATGCTTTTTGTTCGCTTTACAGTGACAAAGCATGAAGACTGAAGACGACAGGAATTTTATATTCAGTAACATTTTGGCTACATAGGCCCCTGACAGTCTGATGAGTTCCTGTTCTAGGACTCTTCACAATTGTTCTCTGGGAACACAGATGGACAGTGACTCTGGGCTCTGCATGCTCAGAGGGGGTCATTCCCGCTGGGCAGCTACCGCTGTGCTGGGCTTCACCACCATACAGACGATATAACCCTATGCTTGGCTTCAGCTTCTAAAACCTGGGACTTCACTATACCGTGGAAGAACTGGGAAACCAGAGGCCACAGTAACTTCCACTTTTGAAATTGTGTGAGGCTTTATAAAGGAAATGGGGCTACAGCAATAGGTATTCTTACTCTTGACTGCATTATAGAGCACCATATGCACCAGCTCATTTTTGTGTGTTTATTTTGAACTGAGTAAGAATATCCAAGGTTCAGCAGTCAACTAAACCTTCTATAGCCCATCCCAGAAACACATACCACCCCAAAGTCTTCATAGTAACCAGGCTCAACCTCATAGGTTTGTTTTCAAGTTTTTCTTCAAACTAGACCTTTGCAGGGAAATATTATATAACTATGGTGCTCAGTTCACCAAAATTTCTGCTATTCTCACTTTGGGGAAGAAAAAAATATTTTCATTTTGAAAATGAATTTGCATCAGAATGCTCTTATTAACATGCCCATTAACTAACCTAAATGTCTTTATACACCTCAGGCATATGCATATCTTATAGGAGGAGATTTAGGGAATAGCAGTTTTCTTCCTTCCCCTGCTCCAAAAGTGCTACTTAGGGAAATACATCCTTTGTGATTAAAAAAAAATTGCAATGGTACATGTGCAAGTTCTATTCCTGATAAGAAAAAAATTGTGTCCAGTAATCAGGATAATGCACATGCTAACATTTGCACACCACACCACAATAACCATGTAGTAAATAACATACTCCATTTGCACATAGCAGACATATGCAGAAATCAGAAAACTAAGAACCTACTCACTCAATTCAAATATACTGGCTTTTGTGTATATATACATTAAATGAACACTTATAAAATATTTGACCCACATTTTACATCTAAATTTCTCTTCTTCCTTTCCCTTTTAGTTTAAAGATATTAATTTTTCAGTAATATAAGCCATATGAGAACACTAGGTATTTGAATTGGAGCAAAAAAGAGCAAGGACACAGAAAAATTATGCTAATCGGACCTGGATGAGAGAATCCACGCAGTATCAGCAACTAATTTTCCAAGCCTGTTATGTGAAAAATCAAAACATACAGAAGGACACTTTTCCTTATTCCCAGTAAGCAACTTGCAAGCAATATTCACCAAGGAAGGAACTGATCATTAGCTCAGAATCTCATCAGCCTCAATTGTACCTCATATACTGAGTGCAAAGTTTCTGTAGATGGAGTTTCTTCCAACACCATGTCAGTTACTGATGTGATGGGTTTCAATCTGCTGGTGTAGACAGTATCTGACACTGGTATAGCAGTGAGTGAATTTGGAAGGAGTTGGCATGCAAGCGTCTATGTTATAGGGGTGCCCCACTATGAGACTAAGAGCATGATCTTCGAAATCAGGATGGTATTAAAGCCAAGCAGACAATAAAGACACCACTAATAAGGATGCCACCCCAATACAACCCGGCGTGCAGTGAAGAGAAAACTAAGGATCCGCTGGAACTTACGCTGCATTCCTCGGGAAAGGCTGGCTAAGCGCATTGCTAACTTTCTCAGTCACTAGTTTTGCCAATTTTACTGTGAAAAACAGAAATGACAGTATTGAAGCACCAAAATCACATCTACAGCAGCAGGCCTTTCTTTTCTTTCTTTCTAAGTACCTTTCACTATCAGCAACTTGTTATTCCAAATGATGTGTCTATCACCTAAACAAATTTGGCAACATCACAATAAGTATGGAGAAAAAATAATCTCATGTAGTTATTATAAAAAAATCACAAGTGTTCTTATTTTCAGGAATGTAATTTCTGCTCATTCCAGTCAACTTTTAAGACGTGTTTTACGGGAATGTCAAAAAGTTTACAGTGATTAGGATAATCCCATGTGAAAATATCAGTCATTCTTACCCTGGATAAGGATGATTCCCTGCGCCCCCCATGTTTGCTTTTTTAATTCTACAGCCACAATCAATCAACGGGTTAATGGCACTCCAAACTTTGTGCTCTGAAATCTGAAGTTAAGTGGGCGTGGTTGGTTTTTGTTTTCTTTCATCTTCCCACAATGTGCATGTGCTTCTGAACTTGCTTTTGGGAATGGAGCCTCCTGAACTACGGCTGTCCTCTGGCCAAAGTATATGGAATGTAGCTCAAATACTCAACACTCAGACGTTACTGGATGCACACTGAAGATAATTTTAAGATGCAGTATCCCTTTTTCAAAAGCAGTTCCCCCAATATGAAGAATGTACTGAATACACCTGAGGGAAAAAACAAAACACGCTACACCTAGAACATTTTTTTTTCAAAATGAGGGTTATTTCAGAGTTCAATTATAGGCTGTAAATAATGAGAAAAACAATTGTTCTATAAAATGTTGACACTTTACCCTTGGGTGGTCCCTTTTATCATCAATGACCCTTTTAAAAAGATGGCCAACCTTTGCAAGGTCTGAAGCCAGAATGCACGGGTGTCATCAATAAAGGGCTACAATAATTCCCCCCACTTTAATATCTAGTAATTCATTAGTGTGAACAGGATATATACATTATCAACCCATTTGTGTGTGCATAAACAGCATCTTATTTCCTTGCTTTGAATTTCAGGGCTTTTTTTTTTTTCAAACTTGCTCTTTAAAGTCACACCGGAAGTGCTAAAATCCTCTGGGCCTATGGCTATTGGCTGGCCAATTGATCTCATATGATCAGGTGTCAAAGGGCTAGAACCACATTGCTAGGCATGAGTCCCATGCTGCAATTTCACATGTAGGACACATTTCACTATAATATGTGCACAAAATCCAAGGCAGGTACAGATATTCTGCCATAGTTTCTGAGAACGAGTAAAACAGGAGGAAAGATAATAATCAGGACAGTGGATTTCATTAATGGCATACCTCCTTTAATACATCTTTTGAGATAGGAGTAAATACAAGGAATCACACATTTAAATCAGATTCCCCTTTCTAAACAGGATTTAATCACTGTGGTAAAGCTAGGTCCAGAAAAGTCAAGTGTAAAATTCCTTGCTGTAATGGGTCATCTGCAGAAAAATGCAGAACCCACCTTAAATCATTCCTCTCATTCTCTCTATACATCTGCATTTCTGGTTATTAAGTAATTAAAAATGTCCTTTTCCTATCTACAGCTGGGTTAAAAGAAAAACAAAGATAGGGCATTGACTTGTATACACATGGACAGAAACTTTCCACTCAGAATGGCAACTGAACACGTAAAAGACATGCCACTGAGCCATTCAGTTGGGATGCATCCTCCCCTTTATGAGAAATGCAAGAAAATAATGCCACAGAAAAAAGAGACCTGTTCCAAAGCAAAATAAATGAGCAGATAGAAACCACTGCATTATTTGATTTGTTGCTGCTGATGCTATTTGGCTTTTCCACTTGGAAAAGGGATACTGCATCTTTCACTCAGCTCTTATCGTACAACCAGGCATGCCACACAGAGTTTTGAAGGACCTATGCAGTCGTCATGGCAGAAGGCCCCACAGCCTTTGCACACAATCATGGCTTTCAGCCGGCAAGAGCATTTCAGTTCCAACTCATCTGCGTTGCTGCTGTCGGCAAAGTTCTGAACGGGCATCTGAGCGTTCTGACCGGGCAGGCTCGTGGCAGGATTGGAGCCACTTCCCAAAATCCCAATGGACTTTTCAATTGCAGATGCTGCCCTTTTGAAACTCGTGCTACCAAAGTGTATTGTTGGATAATTTCCACAGAGCTGCTGTTGTTGCTGCACCTGCATTTTCTGAGCAGCTAATTGGGTAAAAGGCTTTTGTGGCTCAGAAAGCAAATAGGAAGAGAAATCTGCATTTTTTAGCGCGAATGCTTTTAACTGTTCTTTCATTTCATTCTGGTCATAGGAAACTTGTTTCATGCCCAGTTCACAGCTGCTGCTTAAACCTTCCTCAAAAGAAAGAGGTTCCGATTTTATATTGCTACATATGCCCGTGGACTGTGGCCAACTAAGTCTCTTAGTGGTTTCCATGGTAACTGGTGGTTGTTTTTGATCGGATGGGACTTCTGCATTAGGGAGAGGTGGAGGTAGTGGAGGTGGTGGGGGGGGAGGTGGGGGCAAAGCCAAGGGTGGAGGTGGAGGGGGAGGAGGAGGGGGAGGGGGAGGCGGTGGCGGCGGTGGATGTACAAGTGCTTTGTTTGGCATTGCGTGTGCAGTGCCTCCCACCTCATCGCCTTCTTTCATGGGCATACTGGGGGATAACATGTTGGCTAACCTTAGCTGGTGAGGTGCTGAGGAAAGACTAACCTCTCCCAATCCCTTCTGTTCAAGATGTCTATTGAAGGCAAATGCATTACATCCCACTGGGGTCTTAGAAGAGGCCTGTAATAGAGCTGCAGTAGGAATGGGGCCCCTTGCAGCCATAGGCATTTGGTAAAACTGCTGTCTGTGTGAGGTACCAGTGTCAGGGTGGAAGCCGCCATTCTTGTCAACATGAAATAGGTTCTGCTGGAAGCTGCATGATGGGAGCAGCCGCTTTTGCTGTTTGACCTCAGGGCTGTGAACAATTCTGTTCTGCATGGAGTGCTTGTTTAGCCATTCTTGCTTAAATGGCTGGCTGTGTCCTAGCTGACTCATGCCAGAATTGATGACACAAGGCACCCCTTTCACATCTGGCTCCACCAACAATTTTCCTGGTTCACATTTAACTTGAGTGTGCTCTCCTACAGTCCTAGCTACTCTCTTCTTGGGGTGGTTTTCTCGCTTTCTCATTTGGAGTGGTGCAACAGTCCCTGCCAAGTAGCTCTTACCATCTGGATTTGGAGATCTGGGCGGAATTTCAATGTTTCTCTCCGGCGCTGGTTTACCCACTGAGGTAGTTTGAAGAGGCAATGGAAGCCTGTTGATCTCGAGCTTGGCTCCCAATCTGGGCTGTGGCAGCACTTTTTCCAAAGGCAGGTTGCCCTGTAGTAACTGCGTCACCAGTGGATTGTTAGCCTCCACAGAGGACAGACGACAGCTTGAATTCCCTGGACCAGGGACTCTTTTCAGGGTGTCAGTAGCCAAGGAAATAGCCTCTTCCATGGGACTTGAAGTGGAAGCTTTCACGTTCTGTGTTTGTTGTACACTAGAGGCTACCTCTGCAGCCGGAGGAGGCAGCTCGGGGACAGAGAAGTCTTCAGTGTCCATTCTAAAGCCCTTGTCCGCTTCGTGGAGTTCAGATTTCACAGGAAGAGCAACATTTGTTATGAGATTCCTGGGATGAAGTTCTGACACATTCAAGTAGCTGGCATGTTCAGTTTTGATAGCCTTTGGACAGCTTTGTTCTAGATATTCTTTTTGTTTACTTGAACCCGAATGAGTAACCAGAGGCTGTCCTGTGCTCCTCATCCCATCGTCACTCCAGCAAATCCGGTTACTTGGGTTATACTGACTGCTACAGGTTGTGTCTGCTTCACTTTTGAAAGTAGCTGGGCCGCATGCCTGCTCAGCAAAGTTATGACTGGGAGCTGTCGGCTCATTTAACTTATCCGCAACAAGGGGTAATTCTCGGAGACTTGCGCAGGTGGTCTGCAATGTTTTACAGTCTTGTTTTGCTGCCGAAGCAGCAATGAAAGTGGAACTGTGATCAACACCTTCATTGGCAACTGGCTCAGGCCTGCTAATCACAGACACCTGAGGACACGCCATGGGCTGTGCGGATGCCTCTGTTCTCACCGGCCTGCCCTGCAGGTCCAAGCTGGCTTCAGAGCTTTCAACGGAGACAGTCAGAGACAAACTGGAGGTCAGCGTGGTGCTGTGGTCAACGATGACTTTACACGGAATTGATCGGTTTATGGCTGCTGGTGCAAAGTCCCCTGGTGGTTGCTGAGGTTTTCCAGAATTGTCTGCCCTGTTTCGAGGCCCTGAATTTTTGTCTAAGCTTTCAGCACTTAACTTGGGAGGACTATCGTAAGAGTTTATTGTCAGCATGTTTCCAGTAAACATTGCAACTGTTGGGTGTGCAACCAGAGAGTCTGTGACCGCAACTGAATCACTGCAGCTGAGAGCTGCTCTCACAGTGGTACTCATGGATATGGTGGCCTGTTCTTCACTCCCAGGTACGGCTATCTTCTCAGAAGGAAATCTGTTGTTAATTCCCGTCGGGGGAATCAAGACAGAGCTAGTGGAGAGGTGGTTTGGCAAATTGTTTCCAATGGAGGGAGTTGGCACAGAGGTGTACTGAGTGGAGACTAAGTTACCAGCACTGCTGCTTGATATTAGTAACTGCTTATCATCCATGGAGCTTGATATGCCGGAGCCCTCTGTGGTGGCTGAAATGGGAGTGCTTTCAATACATTTTGGTATAATGGCTATGCATGGACTGTCAGTTCCCTGGATGGTTTTTAACATGCTTATATTACAAGCAGAAATTGTAGTGTTTGCACTGTCAACAGACATTAGAACAGAGGATTTATCAACAGAACTCACAAAGGGATGTTCTTTAATTGCTCCCGACATAGCAGTGCTGCAAACAGATACGGGGACAGAATTTTTATTAAAAAGCATGGGCACACTGCTATTTTCAGAAGAGGTAGATGAAACAATTTTCTCAGATAAATGTGACACAGGTATGTTTTCATCAGAACTATGCACAGATAAGTCAGTGGCAGTTTCTGGAAGTTTACTTGGGTTAAGAGACTGCTGTAGTACAGTGGTGGTCTCCCGGAGGTGTGAAGACTTGTTGCTAGGAGATCTACAGTTTGGATTGACAATAATGACACCAGTAGAACCTTCCATTTTTGTTTCAGGGGTAGAAGAGACTTCTAAGTTTGGAGGCCCTTCCTTTGAGCTGAGTGGAGGCAACCGGGTCTCTTTAGAGGTCTGGAAGAGATGAGCTCGAGCTTGATGTTTTGCAAAGAGCTTAGCCTTTGTCTGCTCTTTGATGTGTGCCAGGGTTCTTGCCTTTCCACTCTCTCCTGGGCTTCCCATGGCTCCAGAGACAATGCTCGCTGCAGCCGCTACAGCAGCGGCTGCAGCAGCCTCTCGCTGGGCCCGAGCTTGTTGGGCCCGAGCCTTGATATCTGCAAGGGTCCTGGCTCCTGTGTTCCTCCCGCCACTGATGGAAGTGCTAGTGGATGCTCGAGACTCAGGTTTCGAGACTGGTTGGCTCTTGATTATAAAAGGTGGCCCAATTTTGGAAAGCTGGATCTAAAAGGAGGAGAGAAGAAAAATAAAATGTGCTTCATACATGATCACAGAGGAGTCACAGAGAATGTGATAATGCAAGGGAAAGGACTAGCTGCATTCTCTCATAATGTGCCATGAACTGCACCTAAATCCCTGGATGCATCTTTAGGGCATAGAGCAACAAAAAATGTAGGATGAATGTGAAAATTAAGTTTTTAATCTACAAAAACATCCATTGTAACTTCATTTGGCAGGGAAAGGAAGCAACTGCTTAATGCCTCATATAAATGGATACAAAATTCATGCTTCTAGAAGTAGGGTAGGCTAAAAGACTTTGAGATATTTAATTTTGAAATTATTTTCCTTAGCGGCATAAAAAACTGGGACTTCTACTCCATTTGAGTTTATCTGTCTTAATTTGACCCAAAGAAAAAAGGCCTGACTAAGATACTGACAACTAGAATTCTCATTCTGACTTTACACAAAGGAACTTTGTAAACACTAAGCACTATGTAACTCAGTTTCTCCAATAACCTCTCTGAGCCACGGACTCTATGATTTTTATGTACTTCCATGCTACCTTGTATGCTGCTTTATACACATACAATAAGAACACAAGAGAAGTTTGTAAACTCAGTTGTAAAATGAGACTAATTATTTCTGGTCTATTTCCCTCAAAGGCAGTTTTAAAGATGGAATGAGACTACATTTGTCAGAGTGTTCTATTTTCCAAAGGAATTGCATTATCATTACATTTGCATAAAAGCAAGGGAAACTGATTTTCTACCTCTAAAGAATTTATACATTGGGCAGTTTGAAATTGGTAATCCACAATATGCTGAATTTTGTACACATCCCAACCCATACCGTTTACCTATTTTTGCTAATTAAGAGACTCACAAAGTCATCACCAAATTCAGGAGGAAACAAGATCTAACAACCAGCATCCCATAGCAATGCTGTGTTGCTCTAGTCACTAAAAACATCCTTAGTCATGGCTGTGTAGGGCTGGGAAGACTATAGTTCATGTCCCTCATTTTACAGTTGAGAAAACCGAAGCTGTACAGGTAAAAAAGTTTACCCTGGGGTCATATAACTAGTGAGTGACCTAGAGTCTTTGGGCTTCCCATTTCGTGCTGTTTCCATGTATTCTGTTTCCTTTTTCTCCAGATTATACATATCAATTTAGAATTATGCTTTGGAACGTTGATAGATGAAATTATCTTCCTGAGCTATCTTGTTTCTCATTTTCAAACTGCTTGTGAAGTCTGTCTTCTATTCCAAAGGCCAAAAAAAAAAAAAAAAAAAGATGATTCTGGGGAGAAGATTCAATTTGCTCTTTTAATATTTCTCCTATTGTAAAAAATTAAAAAAATTTTTAATAATTAAACTTAAATATGCTTAAGCAAGAGCTCTTAAGACCAAAACATCAAATATTCTTGTAGTATTTATCTACCTACCTTTTTTAACATCAATGCTTAATTTATTAATTAATGTGCTCAATAATATCGCAAGATGGTAACATCTTGCAAGACTGTGATATCACAACCAGGACACTGACATTGATACAATTACAATATGGAACATTTTCATGACTACAAATTTCCCTCATATTATCTATCTTTACATAAAGTCTACATGACTTTGAAAATAAGCTTTTGACAAAAAAAAGACTGGCATGTTTAAAAATATCTCTTATGAAAAGTTTATATTATTCTTTCTATGGCTTCAAAAATTTGAATTTTAATTTTTAAGTTTTTAATTGAACTTAATGCTTATTTTTTATACCTCTAGAATCTTGCTTACTAGAGACTGCTTTATTAAAAAGAGTAAGTACAACCATAATCTTAAAGTCAGCCTGTGAAGAGCATGAGTTATATATAAAATGAAAATTTTATAGATTTTATATTTACAGATAGAACAGGATTTTTTTAATTTAAAAAGTTTGAGATGTTTATAATTCTAGACCAATGCTACGATGGAATAATCTACTTCACTATACAAAAGTATAAATGACAAAAGGTAGAAACTTAAAAAAAAATTACACTGGGGTTTCTTTTGAATTAATCTTAATTTTCAGTTTACTCAGGCAGAGCTAATTTATATAAATGCTTTGTTTTCTGGAAGTTAAATTTTACCTGGGATCAAAAGAAAGTATATAAATAGAAATTTTTATCTGTAAGCCTTTATTTTTTGGTGAATTTAAAGGCCTATTTACTATCTATCTTGGATATAAAAAAAACATAGGATTTGTATATCTACACCTCTATAGTATTCTCTCTCAGAGTTCATAAGGCAATTTTATTGCTTTATTTAAGAAATATTTAATGAGGCTCAACCATAAGCTAGGTCTTCAATGCTAGGCAATAGTGGTGTTCAGTGTTTGTTGGGAAATCAATGTAGGGATAATACATACCTTCTCTGCCTTTGTGCTGGCCTCTGAGTTTTGATTACCTCTTTCCCTAGTCCCAGAGAACTTTTATAGGACACTAAATTATCTTTCCCATTTTCCCAGGTTTACACAGGTCTCTGTTCTACACCTTGAAATCTCTATAAGCCCAGGTGTCTCAGTGGCCTGTAGACATTTCCAGGCCCTATTCTCTGTCCTTAATTCTTTTTTCTTTAATACCAGGGTTTAAACATATGCATGTATCTAAACTGCTTTTATGAATTCAATGCATAGTCATAAAGAGGGTCATTTACTATTAAAGGATTCGATTATAAATTGCTGCATAAACTTAGAAGGAAGAAAATCTAATTATTCTTGAAAAATTAGGCTTCTAAATAGAAAACGTCTATATATGGAACTGTCCTTTGTTTTTTTTATTTAGTACCATACCTTGAGAGGGGGAACCCTTGGTTCCTCTCTTGGAGGCTGTTCTTTCTCAGCTGGGCTGCTAGTTGATATGTTCCGGGTTGACTGATCGTCTTCTATCCTAGCTCTCTTTTCTTTACAGATTCCAAAGCTGTGCTGCTCTGCAGTTTTCCTCTTTGATATCTCTGAATCTCTACTTTCATTTCTTATCCCATCAGGTGACTTGGAGGGTTCTGATGACTTGGAAGTATGTGAGGTTTCTAAACGACTCTGTGTACTCCCTTGCTTATGTGTTTTATTTCTAGAGCCTTCTGAAAATGAAGCCTTATCCACTGATGAGATATATTGCTTGTCCTGTAATTTAGCAGATGGAAGCTCATTTCCCTTATTCTCTATCTTTTCAGAAAAGACAGATAATTCCAATGGTGAAGATAACACTTTTTTTTCTGTTCTTTGCAGGATGCTATGATTTTTAACTTTTATCATTTCAGTAGAAGCAAGTTCTGGAATCGAAGCAGGATAGGGCTTTTCAGTGTCAAGATGTGATTTACATGTTTGCTGACTCAGGGTCTTATTGTGCAAATCTTCAGATGGAAATGCTTCAGGAGCAATGGAAGAAGAACTCAATATGATGGCTTCAGGAGAATTAGCTAGAGTCTTCTGCTGGGAGGTAAGGTTCTCTCCCAGAGGTTTGGCAGTGGTAGAAGACTCATCTTTCTGCGGGGAGAGTGGTTCTTCAGATACAGAAGGTGACTTTCTTTGCTGATGTGCCATTCTCTCATTCATGGAAGAATTGGAAATTGGAGATGTTTCTGAAGGAAGTGGCAAACTGGATACAAAAGTGGCCTCAGAGGTGAGAAGCATGGAAGACACTGAAGAAGTTTCTGAAGTTAAAGGTAAGTCAGACATCGGTGACGTTTCTGATGTTAAAGGTAAGTTGGATACTGGTGATGCTTCAGATGTTAATGGTAAGTTGGACATAAGAGATGCTTCTGATATTTCAGGTGAAGTGGATATTGGAGATACTTCTGACATCAAAGATGCATGAAGGTTTTCATCAATGGAATTTCTCTGGTTGTATTTGTCTGTATTTTCAGTGCTAGACACCTCAGAACAAAATGTTGTCTCAAGGGAGGCTGGAGTACATGATTCTTCTAATGTGGACTGTGTTTCTCCTCCTGGGGAAGGCAGGCTGGTACAGGCTCCCTCTGGGCTCTCAGAAGAAAAGGATGTTTCAGAGATGCAGGCATTTTCTGAAAGCGGTTCTTCAGGATCACTCTGTAGCTCCATATCTACAGCAATTCCTTCATTTGGAAACTGGCCTTCTAGAGAAGATGACCCTGTTTTTATTTTGAGGGTACTGGTCTCTATTGCAATTTCTGACTCCTTATGTTCTGTGTCACTGACATGAGTCACAGATGAAGTGGAAGGAACAAGAGAGTCACAGACTTCTAACTGATCGATGACAACTGTCATTTCTTCCTGGGGCAATTCTGACTTCTCTTCCATCTTAACTTCAATATGAGGCAAAGTTTCTAAAACATCATTCATCATAACACAGGATTCCAAGTTATCTTCAGGAGGTGCTATCTGGGGTTCTTCATGAGAATGGGTTGGACTTTCAGACTCCTCAGAAAATTCAGGTATTGTCTTATGATTTTCATCCTGGCATTCACAGATACTAGTCTCTACCTCTTCTGCAATTTCCTCCTGAATTACAGATTCTTCTGGGATCAAGATATCCTCTGACTCCGATTCTGCCATTGTATCTTTAGCTGGAAGTTCTATCATAGGGCAAACAGAAGCACAGAAACCAGGCTCTGGAGAAGCTGGGCTTTTCATGCTTTTTGGCTGTTGTTCTGTCAAGGGCGTCTGTGCAGAAACTGGAAGACCAGAAGTCCCACATGAGGAACTACTTTGAGCTTCAGCATTGTTTGGTCCAGTAGTGAGCTTCATAGATTCCTCTCTTGACATGCCCAGTCTGTACAGAAATTAGAGATATGAAATTATTGCTCAACCACAAAACATGAAAGGTATAATTTGGATCTCTCATGAATGTAGTATTTAATAGAAGTAAATACACAAAATTACTTTTATAATCACTAACATGCTTAATTTATGTAAACTAGTTTATAATGATGATGCTTCTTTGCTGCTTTTATAATCTCAACTAAAACTCTACTTCTGATTAAGAACAGTATAGATTTTTATTTTGTAAAGCAAGGAGATATGAACCTTACCAAGTACTAGTAAAGGAATAAGAAAATTACATCCAACAAAGTATTAGAAAATACGAGCAGAAAAGCAAAATAATGTATAAGATATATAAATATATATTTAAATATAGATAGATAGATATCGATAGATAGATAGATATTTAAATCCAAAAGTAGAATGATGCTCTTATAATAGAAATTTATATAGTTTTCAGTGGATACAAGAGAACCAAGTAATTAAGATCAATGGAAGATGAATGAAATTCATCAAATTCTGAAATTGAAATGAGTTCCAAAGATTGGTTTTCTTTAATCTAAGAAGTATTACTCAATCACCTTATTTCAGCATCTAAGTGTCTAACCTAAGACAACATGGAAATTTCATTAAAGAATAACAGAACATATTTGGGGTTATCGAAGTTATTCTACCAGCTTACATCTGTATGCAGTAAGACTTTTAAATTATTTCATGCATATCTCTTACTGTAAAGATATTCCTTAAATGGCAGTACAGAAAATCAAGAAATAATTGAGCATGATATTCAGGTCTTAATCTAAATCTAATTAGAGTTACAATCAAGGTTACTGTAAACCACTATTTTCTGTCATATAATTTACATTGTCAGCATCAGATGGTAGAGAAATATGCTGTTCCAAATGAAGTTAAATTAGGGTCCAGGCAATGAGAAAGGTAAGTAGGAGAGAGAACATTTCCAGAGGAAGAAGCACATTTAAGTGAAGAAATATAGTCACAGTAACATTGATGCAAAAAATACCTCAGTGAAAACCACTTTAACCTTTTATTTTTAAAAATCCTCAAAGTCAAAGGGAAATAACATTGAATACAGGTTTTGGGTATTTTGTCTTTGCCTTCTTTATTTAAATTCAGAAATCTCTGAAAAGGTAGAAGATACTATCTTCATAATAATCTCTTTCCTTTCAATATTCTCTAAGATGAATCCAAACTAAGCTACAATTTATATCTATACTATCCTGAGAAGATCAGAACAACAGCATTACAGATAAATTTAAAGCAGAATAATCTGCAAGAAATGAGGTTCCTTGGGACTAGGTCAAGCAGAGTAACTACTGATACTAGACTAAGTGTAACATACCCAAATCTGTCCACTGGCAGCCAACTTTCTGCTAGTTGGTTAATATTATTAAATATACATACAGATAAGTGTACATGTACAACAGCACTGTATAAAATATGCCCATGTCAACATTTTCTCATTTTCATGGGAAAACAGACATAAGATGGCATAAGACATAGGAAGAAGATGTTCACAGTTCCCCATACTTCGCAAAGGAAAACACTGGCCTCCAGAGATCTGGACACAAATTCACAAATCAAGCCCTCTAATACTTAGCATTTATACAAGTGATATAAAAAAATACAGAACAATACTATATTATAAAGAGATTAAGCAAGTGAGAATCATAATAAATATTTAAAACAAGCAGAAAACGAAACCAGGCAGATCTTAACTGGACACTAGTTTGAATGTTTAGACACATTTTTGAAAACACTTAGAGCAATGAAAAGGCACATGGTATCAGTCAACTAAAAACTGTCTGGTAGTAGGGGAATACAGGTAACCTGGGAGCAACAAAATGAGGGCAGTCAATGAAATGTCCAAAATATATCTGCCATGAAATATGTAATAAACGATAGAAAAGATCAGGAGACAAGTCTGGTGATGGGAGGGGACAAAAACTGCTGATAAACTATAGCAAAAAAAGGGGGGGCTAAGTAGAAGAATGTTTGTATTCAGAGTTTGGTGATGGTAAGGAAGGGGGTCATGTTTATTAATATTATAGCTGTCGTTTTCTAGAGAAGAGACCCTAAATCTGATGCCCAAGGGAATCTGGGAAGTTCCTAAATTTCATGCAAAGATTGTGCATATGTGTGAATCTTTCAGAGAAGGATTTGCAGGATGAAGGCCCCAAGCAATTTACTCAACCTCACTGTTATAAACCTGGGAAAATTACTTAGTTTCATTTTCCCTCAGTTTCCTAATTTTTAAAAAATAATATAAATAATGGTATCCATCTTATGGAATTGTTGGGAGGATTAAAGAATATTTGCAAAGCTCTTAGAAGCATATCAGAGTGAGTGTATTCTCAATGATTATTTATTGCATGAAGGAAAGCTCTCTGTAATGTAACTCCCTTGAACTGCGGCTCTCTGGGAGTAGAACTTTGGTAGCCCTACAAACAATTGCATTCCTGGCATCCAGGAGAGTGTCTGACACAGGGGCAATGTTGAATAAAAACATTAATTTAATAAAAGAATGGGTCTATCACTAAAAAATTTAAGAACCAATGCTTTGGAGGTGCTATCTCATTTATGCTTCTGCCATTACTGAAAAGAGTGTGCCCAAGATTTTCTTTCACAGGCAAAAGGAGAGGGAAGGTTCCTAAATACTCTTTAATCTCATCCTCCAGGGTTTTTAATCCTGCTGGGCATCAGCATAACCTGGAAAGCTTCTAAAAACACAGACTCCTGGGCTCGACTCCTAGATTGTGATATAGCCTGGCTTGAGTGATATTGTTGGTGACTTTATGTGAAGACCTATAACTAGATTGTCACATTTTTTATGTTTGAGAAAAGACATTAATTATCTCTATTTGGTTTTGCTTAAAAATATATAGGCATCCAGAATTCCTGGCACAGCAATTAAAAACAGGCCTTCCTACTCAAGAGGACTACCATTTAGGACAATTCACAAAGGTTAGCATACTCTGAGTACCCTCCTTCAAGAGGTCTGTTAAGTATCATTTCTTTCCATGAAGAGCTCTCAAGTGAGACTCCTGGCATGTTGTTTTGTCTCCATTTACAGGTGAAATTTTGTGAAATGAGATCCCATGACATAGGTTTTGTTACCTGCAACCACCTGTGTCCTTTACACAAAATAACAACTTTCAAGCATTGACTGTGTATGTGGTAATTGGAGCACAAGTCCCTCTACAAAGGGGAATCTGAAGTGACCACCAACAGTAAGTGCTGAAACTCCTCCTTTTTAGGGATCTGATTGTGTGAGACACTAATTGCCCAAGCAGAATGTGTCTACTAAACATGAGGTAAAGGTGAAACCGCTTTCAGGGTTAGTTCATTTGCTTCCACACTATGATGTAAAAGCTCATATTACTTAAAAAAGAAGCATACACACACACATAATAAATTAAAGATAGATTACAATTGAAGAGGAAGATAAGGCAAAAAATAAATCTCAGGCACTCCCCAAAACAAGGACTAAACAAAGATTAAAATGCATTAGACACAGTCAATACTTTTGGAAAAGTGTGAGAATTGAATACATGCCAAAAATTACTTATCTATAAAAAATTCATTCATGAATATACTTGAAAATAGGAGAATTTTACTCAAATTCCATTAAGAAAACCAAAAGTGGCTTCTATAAGATTTCATATACTATTTTCAGCCCAAAATAAATTTTCATGAACAAGTTATAAACCCTTGAAAATGCATTTTTAAAAAATTTAAGTGCTGACATACCACTATAATTTCATCTGCACTTTCTTACACTGAGGGACTATTGCTTTTTATCACAGGTTTATTAAGTTTTACAGCATATGAGTGTGCTATGTGAAGCAGAGAATTACATTTTCATTTCCTTCTAAGAGAAATGAGAAAAAATACTCTAGTACTTACTTTTCTCCATAAAATCTCTCAAAGAATTTTTCTTTCCAAGGTTCTGTTTTCTTTTCCTTCTCAATTTCTTGCCTTATCCGCAACTGCATTTCTGGGGTAAACTCTCCTAAAAAGAAAATGCTAATGTATTGAGTAAAAGTGGTCACATCTTTTGCCAATTCATAAAGAAAACATGTAATTCATCTGAGTAAACTTTTACGGATCTCGAAAAGTACAAGGACAAATAATGATAACATTTCTACAGCTTCTCTTTTCATAAATATCACTCAAGTTGTTCATAAAAATTCTAAAGCTAAATGCTTTAGAAGAATGCGAAAGCATTTAGCAAATGTATTGCCTGCTAGGGGCTACAAATAAAAGGGTGTATATTCACTGTCCTTAAGGAAATCAGTCTGCTGGAAATAGAGTATAATATAACGTCTAAAGCCCTGTATAGGCCATAATAATAAATGTAGTGAAATACACAGAGTAAAGCACTTAATTCTCCCTAAGTCAATTAAAGAGGACCACATATAGGAAGTGATTCTTGAGTTTGCTTTTGAAGGTTGCTCAGGCTTTTATAAAGTAATTAAATCGCAAGGCACAGAGATATGAATACATATATTTATGATCTTTTGAGTAGCCAATTGTGAGTAAAACATAAGAAGAAATAAAATGGGAAATAAAACCTGAGGCCAATTACCCAATAGATATTCTAATGAAAGTTCTTTATTTTTCTATGAGAGACAGAGGGAGGTTCTGGTGGCATTCAGTGTGGAAGGAATATGGCCAAGTAAGTTGTGCAGAAAAATAGGTCTGACAACAGAATGAAGAAATTGGAGGACTGCATCTATAGGGTTACTGAACAGTACACAGGAGAGGTGGAGATTACAGTTGGGCCAGTAGCAGCAGGAATGTTTTGGAAGAGTCAAGTACAAGTAACAGTTCATGACCAGAGAGACATGAAGAAAAGGAAGAAGGTCAAAGACATGAGTAACGTTTTAAACTGAGGAACTGTGAGGACAGTTGTGATATCACAGAAATAGAGGAAGCAGAAGGAAGAGCAAAGAAGGAAGAGAAGCTAAGTGAATTTAATATTGGGAATTTTGGATTAAAGTGCCTGTGCTAGTGAGATCTGCTAAGCATTTGAAAATAAAACAATAGGGAAAGGGGTGGGAATTAGGGAAGGGGGTGAAAGCCCGATACAAAAATTCTTTGCACACTGGCAATAGCTAAAACCATGGTGGTGAATGAGGCAGCTTAGGGAATACATATGATTAGAAAAGAAAATGCTGGAGACATCAGATGGAAGAATAGGGGAGGGATCCTGATGAAAGGTGAGCAAGGGCTGGCAGAAACATAAATAATTTAAGCCTCAGAAATCAATTTAAAATCTGTTTTTAAAATCTAAAGTAGATGGTTTCAAATCGGATGGGGTGAAAAAACAAATGAGATATTGGTGAGGGAACTTGAAATGTAGGCACTGAGAACAGGAAACTGGATTTTGCCATTAGTTACACAGTTTTTGTTTGCTTTTTTGAGACAAGGTGTCATTCTGCTATTGCCTTGACTGGAGTGCAGTGGTGTAATGGGTAGGTGAATCACTGCAGCCTCGACCACCTGAACCCACTTTAGAATCCCGAGTTGCTGGGACTATAGGTATGCGCCACCACACCTGGCTGATTATTGTATTTTTTTTGTCGTGATAGAGTTTCGCCATGTTGCTTAGGCCTGTCTTCACTCCTGAGCTCAAGTGATTTGCCTGCCTAGGCCTGTCAAAGTCCTGGGATAACAGGTGTGAGCCATCACGCCTGGCCAGTATTCTTTCTCTAGGAGGAATATTTCAGTTGTGTAGAGTGGTGCCACCCCTGACTGTAACAGTTTGAGTGTGTAAAGCAGAAAAATATAGCAGCATTGGGTACTTCTTAGTCTTCCAAGAAACTTGGTGACTAAAGAAAAGATAAGGTGAAGTAGTGACTTCAGGGGAAGGAAGCATTAAAAGAAGTTTCTCTAGGTTCGCCAGGACACTTAAGAGAATGCATAATAGATCAAACAATACCATTAAAATTACCATTCCCAAGAAAAATTTGCTGTATCCAAAATTTTATGATGTCTAAGATAAAATTATGTTTTCTTCAGAAATATCTGGCATCAATAATGCCAGGTATAACAAATGAATTTGTGAACTCATTTGGAAAGGGATATGAGTTTTTACTAAATTAAAGTATACTGTGGCGGGAAAAAAACTGGGAAATCAGAGGAAATATACAAAGCTCAGTACAGTATGTGTACTCCAATATGTCGCATAATAATAGAAAATAGAAATTTACCTTCTGCCAGTCGCTGTTTCCACCCTTGTGCTGCATATGCAAAGAATTCATTATTTAGAGCTGAAGTACTGAGGCGTAAAACTCCATCACTTCCCATCTAGGAAAATAAGCCGACAAAAACAGGATTCCATCAGGAATAACTCAAAACCAAAGTATGCAGAAAAAAAGCAAAAACTGAGTGGTGTTGGGTGGTATTTGTGCGAGTGGGAGGGAGGGGGAAGGAGATAGAGAAAGGAGAAGGGATAAAGAGCAGGAGCTCCAGGGAGAGCATGTGCAGGGTAGGAGGAAGAGAGGAAAGGGACCCAACAAAAGATCAGTCTCCTGGGATGAATACTAGGAGATTAGATGCATGCATTCTGCTTGCTGATGTGTAGGAGACAGAAAGAATTAGTGTTGTCCTTGAATGGCTTCTTATGTAGTTGGAGAGTGAATATAAAACAAATAACAAGTTAAACAATGTCAAGCATTATGTGAGTGAGAATTAAGAAGTTCAACATGTAAAAGCTTGGGGAATATATGTATGTGGACATGAGAGTGTAGGAAGAACCTGATGCAGCATCATGAGAGTCTAAGAGGATCTGGACAAAATGGTTAGAGATCAAAGCATAAGGTATACTGTCAACAGGCATGAGCATTACAGTAGAAGCTGAACATAATAAACTATTAGTAACTAGGGCATTTATGAAGGTGTGAGGATGCTTTCACCTGGTACTAAAAGGTTTGACAAACTGTAGCCCCAACTATATCTTTAAAGATTTCCTCTTACTTCCATATATAGAATTCATATATCCTATGCACTAATTACCTGAAAACACACTTAGAGATTATTTATCATTTTTTGTTTTTGATCTTCTCTACACTCCATTTCAACCTATTGAAATACTATCACTCTTTTAAAATTTAACTCAAATAATGCCTTCATAAATATTTCATTTGAATCATCATTCAGGAGCAAAAGAGAAACTGAACATAAAAAGTAAGTATACTATCTTAAGCTGGATAATGTCTAATCAAAGTCAGAAAAGAGAGACACAGAACAAATGTGAGATATGCTGATTGTTGACACTGTGACATCTATAAGGAGGCCATAGATTCACAATCCTCAGGGTCTTCATTTAAGATGGCACTGGTAACCACACTAAAATATTCCATACATTTGAAATATTTCAGGCAAGATTTCATTTATTCATTGATTTACTGTTTACTCATGCTCAATTATTTCATCTTATTCAACTGATACTTGTTAAGCCACCCATATAAACCTATGTGCATGGCATTTGTATGGGTGATAGAAATTCACTGGTAATAAAGATAAATCCCTTGTATTTATAGTCTGAATATATTCTACACAGAAGAGATGCTTTTGGTCCTTGTCCACCCTTTCCATCCACCTGAGTTCGGCATGACTGATGTATGGTTACATCACCATGCCAATGTCCCACATCATAGGTTTACCAAAGCCCTGATACATGAGTGGCTTAATGCTTCAGCTTCTCCATCCTTTGACTGGACAACTCTAGGACACTATTCTCTGCAGTGTGGTTTATGCACTGAACCAAATGCATGCTATTTGGTGTTCCCAATGGCTAGAATACATGGATCTGGGAACTAAGAAGTAGAATGAAATAACCTTTACACTATCATTCCCAAACACTCACTTGCTGACTGCATGTATTCTGTCCCCATAGCTCTAGCCTCTGTGGGATTAGAAGTCCAGGTTCCCAGGGGGAATCATTTCTATTAGAGCAGGGTTTCTCAAGATTGGCACTCTTGTCATTTGGGGCCAGATAATTCATTTTAGTGGGGGCATGTCCTGTGTAATGTCAGATATTTGGCAGTATCCCTGGACTCTACCTGGTAGATTCCAGGAGCAATCCCTTAATAGATGTGACAACGAAAAACATCTCCAAACACTGGCAAATATCCTTTGGAGGCAAAATCATCCCTAGCTAACAACCACTGCACTACTGGACGATGTAAGGGCCCCATCGTAGCCAAAGCTCTGTCTGGTTACTCTGTATTACTCATACCGTTGGACCAGTAGGCAAAGAAAGGAGACAGATAGGATAATCAATCAACCCTAACCATCATGAGGAAATAAGACTGCTGCAAGAGAGAAGGGATGGAGAGAAGGGTGTTGGGAATGCTGGGGGTTCTCTGGGACACCTCTTAATGTTATTTGTGCCTGGCGATTGACATCCTGACAGGGAAAGACAACCAATAGTTCATACTTCTCAGGGATGGCAGTCAGGGTCACTTCTAGTAGAAGTGCTAAGAGTGAGAAAATCAGCAATGAGTACTAAAGGAGGGAGACAATGAGCTAAAACCACATCCTTAAAACCAGCTTGAGACAGGCACAGCCTATAGCTGGGCCACTAACCCTCTGGTCGTAAGTCTTGTTATTTTCATGTTTTTCTTCTTTCCAATATATTAATATTATGATAGCTACTTTTTAAAGAGTTAGAGACACAGGATCTCTTCATGTGAGGCACAAGTTCTGAGTATGACAAAAGGAATTCTGTACCAGATATTTCTGATATTCCATTTTGTATCATCTTGGCTACATGAGTGCAGAGCTAACAGGGTAAACAGTTCAATGCCCTTAGGTCCAAACTAAGCCAATAACACTCTAGGATTTTCTCTGAAGCAAAAAGAGCTTTAAGTTTCCCTGCAGGTACATATAGCCTAGAGATGCAGAGTTTGTCCCTGGGTGTAACTCCCAATTCATGAGAGAGAAGGGACTAGGGGAAAATGTCTCCCTCTCCTGCTGTTATCCTGTGGAACAGTTCTGTGGCTAATTCTACACATTTTCTCCAATAAATGAGCCACAGTTGTCCAAAGGGCTTCTCTCCTCCCTGTCTCACCCTATTTAACCCTGGATTTGGCTTCCAAATGACCTGTATTCTGGTTCTTTTGTTCCAGGCCTTGTTTAGGGAGGGAAAATGCTGAGGAGGTTCCTAAGTAAGACACCAAAGCTAAAGAGCTTTGGCTTTATCCTCTACATGGGAGCAGCTCAGTGAATGTACCATCGATAAACATGCCACCCCAGATCAGTGGCCTCCAGGTCCAAGTTTTCTCCTCAGTTTACCTATGTAAATTTATTACCTTTTTTGACATAAGCCATGATGGTGGAAAGTTGTGAAGCACTGCTCTAGGTAGTGGAAAACATACATTTTTGAAGCCTACGAAAAGCCTAAAAGATATGTGTTTAAAAAGATAACTTTGGTAGCTGTGTAACAGAAAAGAGAGGAAAAACAATACTGAGACATTGTTAGAAGGGTATTGGAATATTTCAGTAAATGGCAATAAAAGAAAGACGTATCTGAGATATATTTATGACTGGGTGAAGATCTTTAGGATTAAGAAGGTAAAGCCATTGGGAGAACTACTGCATTTCAGGAGACATTAAAGTTGCTGAGGATGATTCTGAGAGATGGGGTGGATGAAATGATAGCCAACCTTCAATGCAAGTCTTCAACAAATGTTATCAAGGAGTTACTGTAAAGACAATGAGGATGAGGACAAGAGAGCCACATAAATGATATGCCTCTATGAAGTCTGAAATTTTTCTGCAAACATTAACTCTGAATAGATGTCCTTGTGATTCCAGAGCCTTGAGAAAATGGCAACTCAATTTAGTAAGATTAAAAGGGAAGAGGTATTCCTATTGTACAGATAGATTTTTAATTAGGACTTATAGGTAGAAGGCAAGTTCTCTGAAGAGGTAGAGGAAGCTGTTCATTGTAGAGCACATGTATAGAAGGCACAGTGGATTAGAATTATTCTACATTTGAGGATTAGATGGTACCTTATAAACTTCTATAGTCAGTGTAACACCACTTAGCATCTTGCGGACAGTAAATTAAAGTTATTGTATTGCCCTTGCTTTAAGTAGTGAAGGATTTAAAATTTAACCCCAGTAGCTGATATACAATAGTTTGGTTCCATATATCCTACCAAGCCCGGGGCATGATTAGTTAGTAATTGAAATTTCAGCATAATTTTAAGACACAAAGAAATACCAGATCCAGATTAGCTCTGACAGATTCTCAAGATCTCAGCACATGAAAATGCAAGGCAGTGTGACATAAACACATTCAAGAATATGAAAGCTAGCCCTGGAGGAAAATACTTTTATTTTAAAACAGAAAAATAATTTTAACTGCCAGATCCCCAGGCTGTACGAGACAGCACAATGAAATACTAGTGCTAAATTTGATTTAGGAAATACATGCCAATAAAACGCTTTAAATACACTATTAATTTTTTGGCTTTTAAGAAATACTGTCCGCCAGGGTGGGCACACCTCTCTGCTCCCGCACACATCACCTCCTGAGGCTGCCCCGGCACCGGAAAAAAAAAAAAAAAAAAAGAAAAAAGAAGAAGAAATACTGTCCAAAAGATATATTTGAATGAACTGGAACAATAAGCACTTCTGAAAGGTTTATTTGTTCCCCAGCTATAAGGTGTTTTCCTGATTAGCCAAAATAGAAACGTTAATTCCCAAAATCATCAAACTGTCTTACAATGAAGTATCTAACTATTGATAAATTATAGTTCCTGTTTAATTAGGAGGAGAAAAACTCTGATCATAATCACTGTTCCAAAGGAAAATAAACCCTAATAAAGGAAAACGTACTCACATGGAGATCCTTTTACTTAGGCTTATACTCTGTCTAAGTATACCATTTGTATGAATACTATTAACATACATTTTAAGGAATGGGTGCCAACTGGAATTCGAAGGGTTAAATAAACATTCCTACTTGCATCTCATCCAACGTTTGAAGATGAATGATTGTTAATTCAGTGCAAGAATATATTTACATTTAAAAATAATCCTTTAAACCTCTATTTTCTAAATCACTGTTTTCTTATTTTGTGTTTCTTACAGATGATTCTAACTGCATGGTATGAGAATTGTTGAAAACAGTGCTGGAGTTAGAAAGTAGCTAAATAATAATGGTGCGCCAAGAAATATTAAGCAATCTGGATTTCATTCACAGACAATGGGGAGTAATTCAAAGTAAAGCCAAAACGTTAATAAAAGATTCACATGAGTATGTGCAGGTAAGAAGATTGCTGCTCTAGATAGGG